CCTTCTAGATGCATTCTTAATTTCTTAACGATGGGGTACGCACAGCAGCTCAGGCTCCTGAGTTTGAAAGACTATTTTCTAGAAGAGCCACAGGGCAAAGATTTTAAGTGTAACTTCCTGGTCTTTGGCCCTGCAGGTTTTTTATTATCTGCTCCACCTTCTGAAAAATCAGATTTCAGTCTGATTTCAAAAGCCCCTCCGTAAGACATCGCCAAGTTCAGGGTTTCGTAGAGATTCAATGTCAGAGGGAAATATACGGAGTTGATCCCACCCTCTTTGGATTACCCGGCCTAGCCAATGTTTGAAAGCCCGCAACAGATCATTTTTAACAAAAGAATTAAGAAAAACCCATCTCTCCAGTGAGGTTAACAAAGGCTGGATGCCAATCCTTTAATAGAACTTGAATTTTCCAACTTAGCTTTGCACAATAATCTAGATGCTGGGGAGCATCGAAACCTCTCTACGGTAAATAATGGGGAGAGCCGGGAGAAGAAGAGGATGGAGGGGGGGAGGCCAAAGGAGAGAGAGGAATGATATCAATGGATGGGAAGAGGGGAGGAGGAGGGGAGGGGGGGGCAAGAGCGTGTAGTTGGGTTGCCGACGACGGACCTCCAAAATAGCATGCAATTATTTGCAAATATTGTTGAGATGAAGAGAACAGATGAGACCAAATTCAATGGCCCATTTATATCACTGCAGAGATTTTTTTTTTGTGCAGCTGAGCTTTGAGGACTCATTCATTTCAAGTGAAAGCAGATTTTTGAAGAGAGGAGGAGGAAAAGGGAAGAAGAGGGGGGAGGGGGGACCGAACCCATTCCGTGAGATGTACTGATGGATTCTCAATGAAGCGAGTCCAGGCCTCCTCAACCAATTCTCCCAAACATTAAATGAGGAGGATGGAATAAAAGGCAAAGGATATTTGGGGAAACAAAGGAAAGAGGAGAATGCGATGCCTTTCAAGAGGGCTGGTTTGGGTTCCTGTATGAGTAGGCTTCCTAGCGGTGGATCGACAGCGACATCTAGTGGCCAGAGGCAAGCAAGACAGTGATGTACTCTACACCAGCGGCCCTCAACCTTTGGGGCACTATGGACCGGTTCCACGGAGAGAGTTTTTTCCGTGGACCGGAGGGCCATGGCTTCGCATGCTGCCTGCATGCCACAGATGAGGCTTCACTTGTTTGCTTGGCCCTGTTTCTGGCATGTCACAGCCCGGTTGCCGATCCACGGACCAGGGGTTGGTGGATCCCTGCTCTCTACACCAGGGGTCCCCAACCACCGGTCCGCGGACCGGTACCGGTCCGTGGAACAAGTCCTACCGGGCCGCTGGTTTGCTGGGCGCCGCCATCTTTTTTTGATGAAAAAGTGCTTCCGGTGAGCTTTTCCGGGTAGAAAGCTCACCGGAAGCACGTTTTCATCAAAAAAAGATGGTGGCGCCCAGCTGATGCCGGTACCGGGCCGCGGCGCCCAGCTGATGCCGGTACCGGGCCGCGGCATAAAAAAGGTTGGGGATCACTGCTCTACACCACTCTGTAGCAGAAATTCAAACTTTTTTTCAGCCCTTCCAAGGTCTTCAAAAAGACCTTGCCAGAATTCTATTGTTCAAGAATCAAATGACCGAATCTTGAAAGCCAAATAGAAGTTCCTCTCCTTCCCCTTATATAGGGGGTCCTCGACTTACGAGCACAATTGAGGCTGAATTTCCACTGCTAAGCAAGACATTTGTTAAATGAGTTTTGCCCCCATTTGATGAGCTTTCTTGACACAGTTGTTAAGTGAATCACTGCAGTGGTTAAGTTAGGAACATGGTTGTTAAATGAACCTGGCTTCCCCAATGATTTTGCTCAAAAAAAAAAGGTGATCCCATAACCCCGGGACATTGCAACCGTCATAAATATGAGCCAGTTGCCAAGCCTCTGAAGTCCGATCACACGACCCTGGGAATGCTGCAATGGTCATAAGTGTGAAAAATGGTTGTAACTAACTTTTTTCAGTGCCGTTGTAACTTTGAATGGTCACTAAATTAACAGTTGCAATTTGAAGACTACCTGTATTGGTTTGCCTGCCTGGTTTCCTAGTCTGGTCAACCTTGAAGGGTTGACATTTTTAGAAGGAGCTCACCCTTCAGATTTAACCAAGTATGCCTCCAAGGGGAAAAGAGAAGAAGGAAAAGCACATACAGAAATGCAAAGAAATGTCTACTCCTCTGTTGATTAAAACACACACAAAAATGCTGTCTGGCTCTATAAGAATCAAGGAAATGTTCAATCACCATCTGCAAAAAAACCTATTTATTTTATGACCCTGTAATCCTTTAATTCAGGGTAGAGTTGAGGCGACTGGATGAAACTGAGCATTTACTAGCTGGATGCCCTTCCTGACACCTGCATGGAGTTCACAGCAGATATTTTTTTTCTTTGCGCCCTAGGAGAGAAATAGAGGCTGCTACCTAGGATTGAACACTCAACCTTCCAAGTGGGAGGCGAGCGTCTTCACCACTAGGCTACTGTGTCGCTCAACCACCATCTGCAAAGACTTAAGGAAAAAGTGTGCCTGTTTGTAAAGTCCGAGTCTCGGTTCTATACGTGCCAACAAAGCTGAATGAGTGGCACAAGTGAGAAGACTATGGAAAAGAAAACTACACTATTCATTGCAGGCCAGTAGAATCAGGTCATAATGTTTATTTGGGCTTAACAAAATATCTCCCTGGAAATAGAAAACTAGCTTCTCAGGGATAGGCCAATTTAAAGGATGTAGAGGGGCAGAAGAAGCATCAGAAAAAGGATTTCCCCACCACTGCCATTAGATCTAATTCATGCCACCTCGATCACAATACACTGATGCATTAGATTAGAATACAGGTAGTCCTCGGTTTACGAGCATTCATTTAATGAACATTCAAAGCAGCAGTGAGATTCAAATTTTTTCACTACCGGTTCTGTGGGCGTAGCTTGGTGGGCACGGCAAAGGAAGGATACTGTAAAATCTCCAGAGAGATATGATATTTGCCGGTTCTCTGAACTTCTCAAAATTTCCGCTACCGGTTCTCCAGAACTGGTCAGAACCTGCTGAATTCACCACCTCTGGTTCAAAGTTACAACAGCACTGAAAAAAGTGACTTATGACTGTTTTCACACTTACAACCAGTGGTGGGATTCAAAATGTTTTACTACCGATTCTGTGGGCATGACTTGGTGGGCGTGGCAGGGAAAGGATATTGTAAAATCCCCATTCTCTCCCGACCCCACTAACCTGCTTTCCAGCTCCGTTCTCCTGTGCAGGGCAACCAAAGGAGACCCAGCCGATCAGCTGGGACTCAATGGGAGGCAGAGAAGAGATGGGGGCGGGGCCAGTCAGAGGTGGGATTTGCTGGTTCTCCGAACTACTCAAAATTTTCACTACCGGTTCTCCAGAACTGGTCAGAACCTGCTGAAGACCCACCTCTGCTTACAACCATTGCAGCAGCCTCATAGTCACATGATCAAAATTTGGACACTTGGCAACTAGTTCATATTTATGACGGTTACAGTGTCCCAGGGTCCCTTTTTGTGATCCTCTTTGGTGATTTTCTGACAAGCAAAGTCAATGGGGAAGCCAGATTCACTTAACAGCCAACTTTAACAACCGCAGTGATTCCCTTAACAACTGTGGCAAGAAAAGTCATAAAATTGGGCAAAACTCAATAAATGTTTCACTTGGCCACATAAATGTTGACTTCAATTACGGTCGTAACATTGAGGACTACCTGCAAACTGTGCTTCAGTTCAAATTCGGACCCTTGGCCACTGACTCATATTTATGACAGGATCATGGGTCCCCTCTTTTGTGACCTTCTGACGAGCAAAATAAACGGGGAAGCCAGATTTACTTAACAACCGTGTCATTCACCTAACTGCAGTGATTCACTTAATAACCGTGGCAGGAAAAAGGGCATAAAATGGGGCCAAACTCACTTAACTGTCTCGCTTAGCCACAGAAATTTTGGGCTCAACTGTGTTCGTAAGTCGTAGGACTACTTGTATAAACTTTAAGGCAGACCCTTAGCAACCTGGGTGGATTGCTGTAGAAAGAAATTGCAAACCATCATTAGTAAAATCTAATGATCGTCACAGGGTTTCTGCAGCTAAAGGAACTACATTCAGATGTCAGCTCTTCCAGAAACCTCATCTTTTCACTTTCTTGTCCCAGGCAATACTTTATCTTCCCAAAACTCCTGGGATAAGCAGTTCAACACTACAAAGGCTTCCATACAAAGTTACTTTATTGGATTATATCAGGCATCCTCAAGGTATAACTCACAGTTATGCTGAGATTCATCTAATGTCCAATCTTTGCATTGTCGTCTTCACAGTGTGAAAAGTTGGTTATCTTCATCCCATAATAATATAGTAAAAGGGAAGACTCCAACACGATGCTGGGATCCAGGTAAGAATGCCCAAAACTCCCTCAGCCCAACCAGAGGTCAATTCAATGACCAATCAGGATTACAGATGTGACCACGTGACATGAACTACATCTCCCAAAAGGCATTAACTATATTTCCCATGAATCATTCCCTTAAGGGGGCAGCTCTCATTCCCAAGCTAACTATATATACTGTCTAACCAGCACAGGCCTAGTAGCCAAGACATAGCAGATGGACATGTTGATCATGATGCGGGGGGAAATTCTCTGTTCTATGCCATGCAGCTGCACATAAAGAGCCTTTCATACACAAGAGAGTCCACTGCAGAAGACAACTCATAAATTCAGATAAATAAATAAAACCATTCAAAAACCACTGACAGAGGGGTGGCCTTTATCAAGCAGGAATAATGCCACATCTAACTCACGGTTTTCAGCATGGAGTCAACAACACAACGTAACAGAGGGGATTGAAACTCTTACTTCCTATCCCCCCACCCCCCACCCCCAAACCAGGTGAAACCCACCCTTTTCAAACCCTCCTCCCCTTTGCCCCTTCTTCCAAATCCCTTAGAAATACCTGCATTTTAAAGTCTAACCTGTTTGGATGTGAAGTCGGGAGCATAAACTGGAATTCCACCACACATGTGTTGTCTTTCAGCTGGCGATGTTGGACGCTGTTCAGCTCGTAGGCGATGTATGCCCTCCGAACATACACCTGGGGTGGGAAAAGGAAGCATGTCTGAAGGGCGTGTTGTGTCAACTCATCCCAATGCCTGAGTATCTAAGGGATCCACCCTCCTCAGTCAGCTTGACCGATTGGATGTCAACACTGAAAGCAACTTGGGAGGATGTCAAAAAAGGCTCTGGCAAAAGCGGCCCAGAGCTACAAGAGACAGGCAGACAAACACTGGGCCCCACAAAGGCCATTCCAGGTGGGGGAGAAGGTCTACCTCTTCACCAAATACTTGAGGTTAAGGCTCCCTAGTAAGAAGTTGGGGCCAAAGTTCATGGGACCTTTCCCCATAGTAAAGGTCATCAACCCAGGCACGGTGCCACTGAAGTTGCCCCGACTGTTAGGGAAAATACACCCGGTATTCCATAGTAGCCTCTTAAAACCTGTGGTGGGATCAACCCTGAGGCCCCTACCTTGTGAGCCCCAGACCCTGTGGTCATAGGGGGCCAAACCCATTATGAGGTGCAGCAAATCCTCGATTCAAGGTGGCACAGGAGACAACTCAATATTTAATCAAGTGGAAGGGCTACCCCTTCACATGATTTGAATGGGGGTGGATGCCAGAGCCAACTTGTGTCAACTCATCCCAATGCCTGAGCATCCAAGGGATCCCCCGGCATTGGGATGAGTTGACACATTGAACATGGGTGTTCAAACATCTGTTCTGACCAGGCTTCACCAAACAGCAGGAAGCTGAGTCCTCGTCCCGATAAACCCCTTTTATTTAATTTCCTCTCCATCCAAGTCCCGGCCAACAGTCTTTCAAGATAGTTCCCAATTACAGACCTTTATCAGGCTTGGAAAGCGCCCAGGCCGATATCTTTCAGACTTGGCAAGCACGCCGGAATGAACTAACTGTCTCCTGCAAAGCCCCACTCCCCTTTCGCTCCTCTTTTATTCCCTATGGGAGGGGCCATTCACCATTCACTTGTGGCTTTACTCCCAAGTCGGCCTGTGTTCCTCAGCTGTGTTCCCTTCTTCTAGCAACTCTGTGCATGTGCACACTGGGAACAGGCTCCAGCTGCTCTTCTGCCTCACTGATGTCCAACTCTGAAGGCAGCTGATTACTGTCCGACCGCCCTGGCTCCATCTCTGTCTCCCCGATGCAGAGCACTCATCAAAGCCTTCCCCAGACTCCAGGACTGGCCCATGTTCCTCTCCAACCTTCTCACTGACCGAATCTGCTGCCAGCTCCTCTGGCTGCTGTTGGGCCACAACACCACCTTGTCCTTCTTGCTTGATGGGAGAGTTAGACCCAGCTTAAAGCACATCAGTTGTAATGATATCTATCTAGCAGAGGTTTCCAAACTTGGCCATTTTAAGACTTGTGGACTTCAACTCCCAGAATTCCCCAGCCAATTTGGAAGTTTGGAAATCCTTTGTATATAGGAATGACCTTGAAGGACAAAGGGGCAAGAATTGCTGCCTAAGGAACAGTCAGATAAGAGACAGAGTAGCCCACAGCTAGACAGTGGATAGGGCGAGAGGCACATTAGAGACCCTCCCTAGTTTCTCAGGCTATATAGCGGACGGTGGGAGATTTGTATAAAAATACAAATCTCCCACCATTGCAAGCTTCTCTTAACATAGCCTTACAATACAGATAGTTCTCAATGCCAACTCATAAAACACTCCTATGCCTATTTTAATAGTTGCCATAAAAGGGGGGGGGAGAAGAAAATCTGGAAGAGCAGTGCAGCAGCAGTTTGAAACCGAAAGTACATTCCAACTCTTATCTTTAAAAAATTGTAACTAAACTACCAGGGCTTTTGCCCATGAATACATTTAATTGGAGAACATGAATGATGACACCCAGCCTGTGAACGTGCTCAATTGGAGAATCTGGTTTATGTGACACCCAGGGGGGAGGGGGGAAACAGGTGACTGTAAATTATGTGTGCCAGAGTTGGCTTCATACAGGGCAGTGCCGGTATGTTGTCTCATAATAAATCCTTTGAAGTTTTTTGAAGTTTGGCTCAAGAATCATGATTTAATTAGAGCAATTGCTGGAATCCTGACACTCAACATACAATTCATTTAGTGGCCATTCAAAGTTACAATGGCACCAAAAAAAGTGACTAATGACCATTTTTCACACATGCGACCACTGCTGCATCCCCATGGTCATATGATCAAAATTTGGACACTTGGCTAGTATCTCATATTTATTGACTGTTGCAGGGTCATGTGATTGCCTCTGTTGGACTAGAAGACCTCCAAGGGCCCATCCCAATTCTGTTATTCTGTTATTTTTCTGTTAAACTGGATCTGCCCGCTCCTAATCCAGCCCTTTAACCCCTTACCACAGGCAGTCCTCGACTTGCCACAGTTCATTTAGTTACAACGGCACAGAAAAAATGATTCTGTAAAAAGGACTTTTTGATAAGCTATTTGGATGAGGAAGGAAAAAGGTTGGGAAGGACCATTCTGACTGAATTGGTAATACAGGTAGTCTTCGACTTACAGCTGCTCGTTTAGTGATCGTTCCAAGTTACAACAGCACTGAAAAAAGTTACTTGTAGCCAATTTTCACACTTACGACCACTGCAGCATCTCCTTGGTCAAGTGATCAAAATTCAGACTCTTGCCAACCGATTTATGACGGTTGCTATGACCTTCTGACAAGCAAAGTCAATAAGGAAGCCAGATTCACTTAACAACCATGTTACTAACTTAACAGTCAGCATTCCGCAAACCTCCATTCCAATCAATAACTCCAAGACAGACATTATCTCAAAGTGTCATGCCCCCGATGGAGACTGACTCTGAGGGAGAGGAGGAACAGCCGACAGGGAGTGGAGGTGTGGCTTCGGAAGTTGTGGAGGAGGCTGGGGAAGGGCAGAGGCCGGCTGGGCAGTCAGAGGAGGACCCAGGCCCATCCCCTATCCATCCTAGGGCAAGGAAGAGAGGATAAGGGAGAGATGTGGTCTACTTGGGAGGAGAGGGCCTTGATCCTCTTCATGGGCTGCAGCTGTGACAACTGAATAAGAGGTCGGACATGCATATGGATGAACGCTGGAAACAAAGCGTGGAAATGTCTCTAGTTTATTGTTCCTCTCTGAGTTTGGCGTCCTTCCCAGTGTGTGTTATCTGTGGACGTCCTCCAGCCCTTATCTTGCCTTCTTCTTATAACTGTTTGTGTGGGAGTTTTTTGTTTTCCGTCAAGAATATTCAGAGCTTGGAAGCAAATTGAAGGAATAAAAGGGGCTTCACCTGTTTTTTGTGACTGTGTTTGTTTTGTATCCCACCCTGGGTCATCACACAAAGGTACCTTTATTCGGATAGTAACTAGCACATCCGTGGAAACATGAAACCGAACATTCCAGGCTCCCTTGCAAAAGTCAAAACTACAAATCCATCCCCGCTTAGCCGTCACCACAGCACATGGTCCAATCACCACCTGTCCTAAAGGAAGATTCCCATTTCATTATACGCCACACTCAGTGACCTTGAACCAAATAAAAGAATTTTATTTTGTCTAATTAGATAATACTCAAATGAATTCCTCCCTCCTACTTCCTCAGATCCAGCTGTGGTAGCGTGGGAGCATAGAATCTCAATATGGCTTCCAAAGCTGACATTAACTGCATGGATTCACTTAACAACTGTGGAAAGAAAATCCGCCAAATGGAGCAAAATTCACTTAGCCAATATCTCAGTTAGCAACAGAAATTTTGGGCTCAGATAACAGATAATCAGTGTTCGAAGGGACCTTGTAGGTCATCTAGTCCAACCCCCTACCCAAGCAGGAGACCCTCCACCATTTCTGACAAATAGCCGTCCAATCTCTTCTTGAAAGTCTCAAGTGACGACGCTCCCAATTGTGGCTGTACGACAAGGACTACCTGTATGGCAGTTCTCATTAAGCATGGTGTCTTCACAACCGAAGGCAACAGTCAGCTATTTCAACGGCCAATATCTTTGCCCTCAAGAGAGTTTTTTGGCTCCCTTTTGAGGGCTTTTCAAGTCAGCCGTACACCTTACACTCAGCTGGCCGTGTGGTTGTGTGCCGTACAAAGAAAAGCAGACAAAGGGGAAGACTTCTTCACACCTCAGCTACTGAGACTGGAGAACCTGCTGCTAAAAGATGTGGTGATGACAGCCAAGAGGTGGAGTGTGACAAAAGAAGGAAAGGTGATTTGAGAAAGAGCCTGAACAGGGAAATTCTAGTCACTAATTTAATGCTGAGTTGCCTTGAACCCTCTCTCCCCCCCCCCCACCCGTCACACGCTTCCTTCTTCCCTCTTAATTTCATTGTGTCGCACCAAGAGGTCACCTTGGAAAAGATCTTATGTTCCTTCAAGGGCAGTGATGCCCTGATAACTCCTTTCAAGGGATGAAAGTACTTTCCTTACATTTTATAAGCTTCTGTTTTTTTCAACCAGACATCTACAGGCCATAATATGCTGTTTTTCTAGGGATTAAGGCATCTGGCTAGAAACTAGAAGGCTGTGAGTTCTAGTTCCGCCTCAGGCACGAAAGCCAGTTGTATAACTTTGGACCAATCACCAGAAGACTGAGAGTTCTAGTCCCGCCTTAGGCATCAAGGCCAGCTGTGTGACTTTGGACCAATCACCAGG